GTCATCCTCTTTTCTTTCCTTCCACTTTCCCAATATTAGAGCCTTTTCTAGAGAGCTAGGTCTTTGCATAATGTGTCTGAAGTGTGTCTGAGCCTAGTCACTTGAACTCAAGGAAGAATTTTGTTGTGATTTATTTGATTATTCACTGGCTTGTTTTCTTAGCTGTCCATGGTATTCTCAGCAGTCTTTTCAACACTAAAGTTCAAAGGTGTCAATACTCTACCTATCATGCTTTTTTCCAAATTTCATTTGCATAGGGTGTCGTAGGGAATACCACAGTTTGCATAATTCTTATCTTTGTAGGTGTAGATACATACCTTTGAATGTTCTCTGAGGCTTTCATGGCTTCTCAATCAAGTGCTAGTCTTTGGCATATTTTTTGACTTTTTGTCCCTTTACTGTAGATGATTGATCCTAAAAGGCAGAAGTTAACTATTAGCATTTTAATTTTATTCATGTTATATTTTATAGTATACACTATCTTCAGAGGTGGGATGCTACCGGTTCTGCCTGGCTCTATAGAACCGGTAGCTCTGAAGAGCAGCAGACCCAGAACCAGTTCTGTGTCTGCTGCTGTTTGACCCACCTGCCTGCCCGGGCTGTTGCCTGACCTTTATTTCTTGCTTTTTCAACTGCAGCTGCTTTGCGCGGCACAGCTGAAGTTGAAAAAGCAGTAAAAAAGCGGTTTTTCAAACACTGCACATCCGCGCGCAGCGCTTATCAGCTGTCCGGGCAGCACAGCTGAAGTTGTAGTACACGTGCACGCAAAACGTAATCACCGAACCGGTTGTAACACCGATTGAATCCCACCCCTGGACTATCTTCTATTTTATTTTAAGTCGCCATCAAAAAGCAGGATTATAAATTTAATACTAAATCAAATGAAGACTATAAATCTAATTTTTTTCCAGTATGTAAGTAGGTTATATTAAGAAGATTTATAATGTCTGTAAATTCAGCAGTTCAAATATAAATCAAGCACTTAGTGAATGTGTATACAAATGAGCATGCAACTGTGACATGTCTACAATTTGGATACAAATACATGCATGTTAGTTCTTTTGCAAACTGGAATTTGTATACAAATAACCTTTCATGCAGTGAATACGAAATAATGTCTGGCTAACACTATGGTGAACTTGCATCGTTAATACACACATCCTGAGCTATGTTATATGAGACATCAATTACTCTGTTTCAGGCATTTGGCTCTAAACATTCGTTCTAGATTAATTTTAAGATAATCCAGAATTCTTGGCAATGGAAACATATCCTTTTGCACAACAGAATGTTCTTTTAATAAGGCTGATGGATATAAATATACACCTTGCCCAAACACTGGAAAATAATTGATTTCTTGTTCTGCTTTTAGCCTTTTGACCTATAGAAAAAAATACTATAATTAAATTCCTCTAAAACATACTTTCAAACAATTTTAAAAGAACTTAGAGAAGTATGGGTCATGGAAGAAGCACAGGAAAAATTGTCTGCTTTCAGAAACAATAATAGTATACTAATGTAATAGTATAAATTACATTAGGTATCTGCAATATTTTCACAAAAGGGAACAAACAAAGCTGTTGTGGAATGTGGGTTATAAAAATGAAGATTTAAAACTTGTTCTCCTGTTATCTGAGTTTCAAGTCTGTTTTGACTTTTAAAGAAAAAAATATAACCACAATAGTTTGAAAATCTGAAATTGTAGTATTTGTTGTTAGAATCAACTAAATTAAAAAAAAGTTTTTGAAAGATTGAGTGCATTTAACCTAAAATGGCAAAATAATTAGGAATAAATATTTTAAGGTATCAGTGTTTTATTACTGGAATTATAAATGGAAATATTTTCTTAAATATTACTTAAAGAATTACAAAGAATTAGGTTAAAGATAGCTGTCCAGATGTTGATAAATTCCACTTTCTATGAGTTACTGCCAGCACAGTTTAAAGTAAAAAGGGCTGTAAAGTTGCAATCCAGCACTACTGTGGATAATTCAGAACAATTTTCCAGACAAAAACAACATCAATTACTAAAAACATCTGTATACAAATGCATGTATTGTGATATGAAATACTTATTCTAATACAAAACTTTCTTGCAAAAAAATGGAGAGGGTTGTGTGTGTGTGTGTGTGTGTGTGTGTGTGTGCGCATGCTAATTCAGTTACATCTTTATTCTTTATTTCTCTAATTTCCTTTGTGTCCTGCATCAAAAATTCCTTAAACTAGCTATCTTTCATTCTACCAGCATTTTTTGTTCAATCCTACCTTTAAAGCTTTCCCATCTGGTTTCTGCCACTATCATCCTCTGAATGGCCTTTACAAAAAGTATTTTCAATGCCCCACTTCCCAATCCAACTGTCCTCACTCCTTCATCTCTATAAGATCTGTTCAGCCTTTGATATTGTTAGTTATTCTCTTCTGTTTGATTTCCCATTTATCCAAATTCTTCAAAGTTGTCTTCATGATTTGGTTCCCAGTTGGTTCTCTTCAAGTTAAGCTCTATCTCATCAAACTCTCACTATTTTCAAGATGACATGTATTTTCTGTCTTTGATTTTTTTCCCCTCTCAGGTCTCTGTACTTGGCGTTTGATATGGTTTCTGTCTGTCTATATTAATTTTGTCACTGGTAGGACAACCTAAGATTTTCAGATGTGTATTGATAGCATTTGATCATGTATATATATGTATATATGATCTGTACTGATTGCATTGTACTTGTATGTATGATCAGTACTGGTTGCATTCCAGATATAACTGGGGGGGGGGGGAAGCGAGCAAGGTTAGGATAAAACCATCTAATTTAATTTAACTTGAATTACTTACAATGAACACAATTACTACCCCAAGATGAAATAATTCACCTCTTCTTTCATATAAGGAATTGCATATAGGCAGCATACCTCTATGGCTTGGGAAATCACAAAGAGCCGTAACATTTTACCCCTGCATTAGTTGTGATACTGTAATTTTCAATGCAATGTGTCCCCAAGTCGTTATTATCAAGCACTGCTTTCATTGTTGCTCTGGTGCCTAGGCAAGAAACTGTCTGCCTGCCCTTTCCTCTTGATCTTCCACAGAGAGGAAGGGGTCAAGCTATTTTCTAAAGTGTCTGTAGGCCAGACAAGGAATAATGGATGGAAACTGAACAAGGAGAGAGTTAACCTGGAAATAAGGAGAAACTTTCTGACAGTGAGAACAATCAACCAATGGAACAGCTTGCCCTCGGAAGTTGTGGGAGCGCCATCACTTGAGATTTTCAAGAAGAGATTAGACTGCTATTTGTCAGAAATGGTGTAGGGTCTCCTGCTTGGGTGGGGGGTTGGACTAGATGACCTATAAGGTCCCTTCCAATTCTGATTATCTGTTATCTTCCATTCCCAAATTGTTCAACTGCAATGGACAAAAATGTACATGTGATTAATTTTCTCATAATACCTTTCTACGTGTATATATTACATGCTTGTGGCTTTGAAATACATGATGTCTCCTGCTGAAATGTGGATATATTTGTTCCTTATAGTCTAGCAAGAGAAATATATCATATGTTGGAAAATATAATAGTGCTCCAATTGCAATCCCCACTTTTAAATCATTTTTTCTGCTCACTGTATGACACATAGGTTCACTGCTGCAGAAGGAGATCTGCCAAGATTTTAGGTTTCAAGGGTTATACTTCAGGGGTACAGGAAACTGTTCCATGGAATATAGTTGCTTATCTGCTTTTCTATTCTGTCACATCCCTTCCTGTAAATTTTAATCATCCAAAGAGCTTCTGCTCTACCCTTTCATCTTTTGTATTCTAGAAGAAGCTGGCCTGGATTAGATACTCCTATAACTGCCTCCCTGAATGCCTTCTTGTGTTGATTCCATCCCTTAAATTCCCTCCCTGAAATTCACATTTTCTTTCTTTTTTTTTTTTCAGAATAAATTTAACCTAAGCCAACATACAAGCAATTGAACTAATAGCCTGTCTTTCCCAGATTGATCTCTCTCCCCTTCCTGTTCCCCCAGCGCTTTCCTGTTTATTTTAAATTGTGAATTCCTACAGGGATCTGTTAACCTTCCACTTTGTAAATTCCGTGTATTGGGATGGAATTCTATCTATATACCACTGTACTGAAATTCTCATTATCATGACCTTTAACTGGGTGCAACAGAACATGATAGGCAACAATTTTTGAACCAAAGTACCTTAAATAGACTAACTTACAGAATAATCTGGGACCCATTATTCTGGAAGGATTGAAACTGGAAAAGTTGTGGTTGCTTCAGTGCTAATGGATGCTGTTGTCTGTTTTGCTTCTGCTACAGTCATGTGAACTTCCTTTTCAATGTTCCATGATAGCTTCCCAGGAAGGAGAGAGGAACAAAAAAAGAAGGAACTCACATATATCCTTCTCAATCCATTCCACCACCACTCACAAGCTCCCCTGATCTCTGCCACTTGTCCACAAACTTTTCCTGAACTGCACTGCCACCATATGCCTTTTCCAACCCATGTAGGACCTCTTGCACATCTCCAGACTCCATGAAGAAGGAAGGAAGATTTCTGAAACTCTCTGCCTGCTTTCCACAAGGAAACACAATGGGGAAACCAGCAGGAAGTCAGAAGTTGCTTCCGCTCCCACTGTTTTTGTCTACAAATGATCATTCTGCTTCTCTGTTTAAGTAAGGAAATACCTCTGAAATGATGACCCAATGGGGCATAGGTTGTCCAGTAAATAATAATTAACAATGAATCTGCCTCAATTTCTGTTGTGTTGTTGTATAAAAGAAAAACAAGCAACATCAACTTGTTGAGAAGTGGTGACCATTCTTGCAAATATGCATTTTTTTATTTGCATCAAGTAAACTTTCTTCCATGAACAATAAAGAAAGGGATTCCATATTTTTGTTGTTGTTGCAGCATTTCTACTTTGAGCCTCATCAAAGAGTCTTCTACAATGTCAAATTGTACTGGATAACTATAAATATTTTACATTTCCTTTTTCCTTTTTAGAAAATCGAGTCTCTGGTGAGGAAACTAATTCAAGTAGTATTTCTCCAAAAACTACCATTGCTGAGAAGTTGACAACAGTCATTACTCCTAGTCCTGCTTCTAGTATTACCTCTTTAAGCTCCACTGTAACATCACTAAAAGGTAAATTGGCTTCAACATTTCTATGGAATTAGTTTGACTCATTTAATCATTTATGATAAAAACATAACTTTCTCAAAGTGTTGCCATTTCTGTTTTCCCATCTTTTCTCATTCTGCTAATATTCTGACCTGGAAAAAAAGGAAATATTGAAATGTAATTTTAATTGAATAATTATTAGTACAATTTCCCAATTTTTCAAGAAACTCTTCAGTTTTTAAATATATTTTATCAGAAATGGAATTTTATAAGTATCATTTTACCTCTAGACATCAATTTATCACTTCCCCTCCTCTACTTCCAGGCTATTACTGTGTTTCTCACAAAATAAGGCTGGGCCTTTTTTTTTTTTTGACCCCTGAAAAAACGGCTAGGCCGTCTTTTCGGGGGTGACTTAATTCCCCCCTTGCATCCTCAGGCGGGCAGGCGGCGATGGCTTGGATGTTGACCTCAGTGTTGGTGGGGCACTTCGTATCAGAAGACCTTCCGCCACCGTTGCTTTCCCTTCTCCCCATGCTGCCGCGGCATTTAGAGTAATGCCACAGCATTTGGCACAGCCACGCGCGGCCAGCCAGGGCTCCTCCCTGCAACCGGAGCCTGGCAGAGACACTCAGCTTCAGGCGCTCCTGTCACCGCCTTCCCTTCGCCTTCAAAGGCAAAGCCAATTCTTTTAAAAACGATGCCCTACTACTGGTACGACAAAGCCTCCCCTGCCTAAGAGGGCAGCCCAACCCCACGTGGGGAGGCGAATCTCCCAGGGCTGCAGCGCAGGATCGGCCCACCCCAAGAGAAGCGCCCAGCCGCCATCCATGCTTGGTGCCGGGCAGAGCGCAAAGAGCTTCGCCTGGGCCGCCCAGCGCAGCTGACAGGCAGGCCCTCCTGCCCGGTGGCAGAACTCTCGCCAAGGCAGCAAGCGCCTCCCCGCCAGGCCCTCCGCTCCTCCTGCCAGGGCCACGCCAGAGCCAGGCAGGCTGAGCAGAGCCGGGAAAGTGAGCCGTGGGTGCGCGCCCGCCTGCCAAGCGAAAGAGCCGGGCCAACCTGAGCTTCGCTTCCTTCCCAAGTCCCTCCAGCCCGAAGGGACCACTGGGAGAGGCTGCCCGAGGCAGTGATAGTGCCCACCCATCCATGGACAGGGAGGCAAGGCGACGGCCTGCACTGCATCCTCCTCCCCACCGAGTGAGTGCCTCTGCCTGATGCCCATGCCACTGCAGTGTTTGGAGCTGCCGGCACATTTGGAGATGCGTGGGGACGGGGACAGGCTGGGCAAGGGGTGGAAAGGATAGGTGGCTTCAGGCTCTCTCCACCGGACCCACCGGCCAGGGAAGCAGCACTGCCATTGCCTCGCCTCCCTGTCCGCGGATGGGTGGGCACTATCACTGCCTCAGGCAGCATCTCCTGGTGGCCCCTTCAGGTTTGGGCTGGACGGACTTGGAAAGGAAGCCAAGCTCGGGTTGGCCTGGCTCTTTCACTTGGCAGGCAGGCACATACCCGCAGCTTGCTTTCTCAGCTCTGCCCAACACGCACGGCTCTGGCATGGCCCTGGCGGGATAAGCACTCACTGCCTTGGCTCTGCCACCGGGCACCCTAGGCGAAGCTCTTTGTACTCTGCCCGGCGCCAGGCAGGGGTGGCAGCTGGGTGCTTCTCCTGGGGTGAGCCGATCCTGCGCTACGGCCCCGGGAGATTCGCCTCCCCACATGGGGTTGGGCTGCTCTCTCAGGCAGGGGAGGCTTTGTCATACCAGTAGTAGGGCATCGTTTTTAAAAGAATTGGCTTTGCCTTCGAAGGCAAAGGGAAGGTGGTAACAGGAGCACCTGAAGCCAAGTTTCTCCGCCGGGCTCCGTTTGCGCGTGGCTGTGCCAAATGCTGCAGCATTACTCTGCAGCATGGGGAGAAGGGAAAGCAACTGTGGCGGAAGGTCTCCCAATACGAAGTGCCCCACCAACGCCGAAGTCAACGCAGGAAGCACCATATCCGGGTATGCAACAAAAGTACTTCCTAACAACAACCCCCCCCCATTCCCCCCCATTTTGCATGCTTAATATAGGCCTTAATTTGGGGGGAGAGGTTTAATTTGATTTTATGCCTATAAAACATGTTGGGACTTCCTATTGGGGGAGGCCGTATTGTTGGAGAAACACGGTATTTTAAATCAAACTTTTAGCTGGTGCTAAAATACTTTGCTTATTATGCAAATGTATTGTTAAACATTTGAAATGTTCAGATCAGATTTTACTATCATAGATCAGTTCAAAATAAATTCAAAATTAAGATAAACAACTCCTAAATAGTGAGTCGTGAACAGCAGAATTCACAATTATGAAGCCTAAATGTGAGTAACAATTAAAAAATAGAATAAAACTAACAATAAACAATCATTTTGTCTGGAACAATAGATATTTACAATATGATTATTAATAGAGTATAGCTAATACTGCAGTTAACAGGACAATATTTAGCTATGTTCAGTAAGACAAAGTTCAACTGATCAGATAGCAAAAGGTGAAGAGAAAAGGAGAGATTAAGACATTAATCTAAAAATAGGGATAATAGCTCCTGACGTGAAATAACATAGTGAACAATACAATACTACGCAATACAACATGTCTCAATATCTGTATTGCTCCTGTGCCAGAGGGACATAGTCTTTACTCAAATGGAATGTCCTCATATGTCCCCTCAGTGAAAGCTATTGGGAAGGCATTAAATCTAGCCAAAGATAAACATCTCCTAAATATAGAGACTAGTATTTGATTAAGTGTTAAGATATTTAAAATTTAATAAGTGGAGCAACAAAGGGTTGGACAATGAGTAAAAACACAGTTATAGCTAATTGGTTAAAGAGAGCTTAATTGGTTGCTGTGAGAGTAAAGGAGGAGTTTCCTTATTTCCCGCTTTTTTTCTCTGTGTGCTCTCTGTGGTTTATCTCATGATGTTCCTGCTGTGTTGGTTTACCTAACAATGCCCCTGTTTGCCTATTTTATTTAATATAAGTATATTTATTTATATAAAAATGCTTGTTTGTGTTAGCATCTCTGACTCCATTTGGACACCAGGTGCACAATTCCCTGACATTAAGATATTGTGATAATTAGAATGGTTGAGAAAAATTACTCAAATATATATTTAGTTATGGCTGACTGATTCATCTGAAACTCCAGATCAAAATGTGCTATTTGAGATCATTAAGTGCACACTCATAGCCCATCAATTTACACAAAAATGTGAAAGCACAGCTGCCAGTTCTTTAGATGGTATGGGTCTTCATACGCATCAAGTTCTTTCCAAGAAGCTGGAATGTTGCCACATATCAGCATAGTATATGTGCAGATCTAAGTAATGTGGCTTTTTGTAATTGATAGATGGAAATCTTGTATCTTTATCCATTTCCCCCTCATCTTTTGTAGAAATTGATCATGTAATCATTTGAAGAAAGAAATTGATCATGAATTATTATTATTATTGTTAGTCAGCCAAATGTTTAGACTGGATTTGGCATTTTTATCTACCAATCAAGTCTTTTATTTCTTTCCAGAGACATCAAGCAATGGTACCAAGCCAGAGACATTTGCCAGCATACCCACAACAAACGTAACTTCACCAAATACAACAGCTAAGTCGTTTACTACACAGTGGAATGCAATATTGACTACTAACAATGAGACAACAACAACTCAAAGTTTAAGTTCAACACCACTTCTAACACATGAACCTACTAAGCCAACAACATATAATTCTACCATTTCTCTTATTACAGACACAACTAAGAACAACAGTGAGATGGTAAGATTGTGAAAATTTAGGAAAATAGGAAACATTAATTATATTTGTATTATAGTTATAAAAAAGAGGAAATATTAATCTCCTTTATTGGGACCATTATTTTAAATCAATGATTGGTGTATTAATCAGTCTCATCGACATGGTATTTCAGATACTTTTGCAAAGGTGCCAGCTTATATTCTTCAGCTTCCTGGATGATTCCCATAGGTGCTCATTTATTTCTTTGAATCTCATCTAGGCTTTTTCTTATTTCATTTTATTGGGGAAGAGAATAGATGTGTTTACATAACTTTTTTCCTCAGCAAAGGAAGCTCCAACAGCAGGTTGGCAAACTGCCCAGAGCACAAATGTGAAGGGAAGAGAGAACATAAATTTGCAACTCCCAGCCTGTGGTCTTCTCTGATGCGCTTTCCCACATTCAGGTTTTTTTATAGCATTTGACATTCAGACACTGTAGTGTTCTACATGACCATTCTACTAACTACTGTTTTGCTACTGTTTTGTGTTCAGAAGATGTAAATTGTCACACAATCTCATTTTGCTATATGAAAATGTATCTGAGTACAGGTAAAAAATAATTCAATGCAATAAAAATTGTTATTGTATAAACATTGGCCTTAGTCTGAATTTACATTGACTCTGTCCTCAGTATTGGAATTACAAAGCCAAATATTCCTAAAACAAAAGAAACGGATGCTAAAGTAACATATTCCTTGATACTGACTCTTCTTTCATATATCTGATATTTGATTGCCTTTTGAGGAAGTTTACTTATGATTTCAAGTCGATAACATTTACGTTCAGCAGATTTGTTTGGTTTGACACCTCCATTTCAGGTTACCCTGAATATCAATTGTCTTTTCAGCCATGTAATGCTATTTGTCTGATGGAAGCATATAAGTTTTTGAATTATGTCTCCTTTCAGAAAATGGTTGAAAGTTTTCTACATTAGAACCATGAGAATATTTGTGCTTTATCAGGATGCAGCAGGACTTCCTTGTTTTTTCTTTGAAGACGTTTCACTTCTCATCCAAGAAGCTACTTCAGCTCTGACAGGGTAGTGGGAAATGGGAGGAAAAACAAGGAAGTCCATTCCCCACTAACCTGCCAGAGGTGAAGAAGCTTCAAGGATGAGAATCTTCAAAGGAAAAACAAGGAAATCCAGTTGCCTCCTGAAAAAGCACCTTTGGGACAACCATGACCTGGATGACTGAGAATCTCTACAGAATTTCCTAAGATAATTATCTCTTGCGTATGTCTGCCAATCTGAACTTTGTAATTATCTTCACAGGTATGGCTCAGTGTGTCCCCATCACATAAGGTGAACTAGTATTTCAGAAATAGTCTTCTTGATGTTGGTGTCTCTATTATAGAATAGTCTTCTCAGGGATAGTGGCCTAACACCTTCTTTGTGGTCATGTTTACCCCAAGTTGCTGGTTTGCCTGCTTAATACAACTGTTTGTTTAAAATCACATGTAAGCATAAAAGTATCTTTTTAGTCATTTCTTTTATACTTTGGGATTTACTTTTTCCACAAGAAAAAAATATTTGTGCTTTTTTCTGTCACATTTTAGCAATATTGTTTATTCTTTGTTCTTGAATTATTCAATAAGCACATATCAATAAAGGAGAATATTTGTAGTTCAGGGTTGAAATTAGTGGTCCTTGGTGCTCTCTGAACTTAACTGTTTTCTTGCAGATGTTTCATTACCCAAACTAAGTAACATCATCAGACTAGTACTGATGATGTTACATAATTTGGGTGATAAATTACAATCAAGCTCAGAAAGCACCAAGGACCTTTCAAGCATATATTAATTAATTGGTGATTTCATGGAAATACAATTAGCAAACAAAATAGACAAATGACACCAGACAAAGGGAAATACAATGATACATTCTTTCATCCTTTCTTTTTTAGTTCAGCGTCTCATGTATGAAAATCAAGCAGCTGCCTCCTGCCACTGAAGTGGTATGCTTGGAACTCGATGAAGTCCAATCTTGTGTAAGTAGACAGGAAGGAGAAAATGGCAAGAGAGGCATTTGTTATAATGGAGGTTTTGCTTTGCTTTAAGATAAAAAATTGAGGGAGGGGGGGATTTCTTGGTGCAGAAGATCCAACATTGAAAAGTAAAAAGTGATGGTTATCCTCCACCCATCTTTAAAACAATCGGTGTTATTTGTTTCTATTCAGTGCAAAATTGCATGTATTTCAAATGTTCATCGTGACCCATTTGGTTCTAGATTTTGACAATGCTTTGTCCCTAAAACTTCATGCATTCCATTTGTTAAGTTTATAAGTTGTCCAACGAACTCCACCCAGCATCATATTTACACACCAGGCACTTTTTCCGCTACAGCATCCATAGTTGTAGGAACAGCATAAAGCTTCTCTGTGTGTATAAGGGAAGGAGAAAGAGAGTAATGGCTCATTTGAGCCCAACAGATGAAAAGCATAGATATCTGGACAAAGGGAAAGGAGGGTAAGTGCTGAAATGAGCACTGTGAGATTGTGAAACAATCCATCCATTGCATACTTCTGTGTGACATTGTGAAGCAAGTATTTATTTTTTTGCATGGTGATGTTAGGATGCCAATTTCTTAATTTTGGCATCATTGTGGTTAGTTCTTAGCATCAATCCTAGAGGCTAGACTGAGGTAAGAATTCATGGCATCCTGTTTTTATAACAAGGAAAGTTAAGCTGAATTGGAGGGGAGATTGTAAAGATTTATGAAACTGATTAGACATTGACTAAAAAGTTTTAAATCCAGTTGGTTGAGAAAAGTTTTGAGTTCAAGCAGCAGAATGGTGGGATAAAGCAAGAGTTCCAGAAATGGAGAATGGCCTCTCTGCAAGTCCCACAAAATTTCTGTCTTGCAAATCTTGAAATGAAAGTTTTGCCATTTGGGCTGTACTATAGCTAAGCCAGTAAACAATTAGATTGAGCATTGCACTGCAGAGGCAGATATAATGCCAACATCCCATGTCGAAATATCCAATAATGCCAGTTATTGAAAGTTTGTGCTAAAGTAATAGTTAGAAAGATCTGATATGTGCTAGAATGTATGAAAATTATTTAAGATGAAAGCCTTTCAAAAATTATGTTTACCATCTGCTAACTTAAACTCCTATAGTAGTTCACTTTTGTAGCATAGGCGCCACCTAGTGGGGTGATATTTAAGCAAAAAGACACATATGTGTGTTAATAATTTATTTAGAATTGTGATATAAAAATGCAGGTTAGCTACCCTTTAGTTCCATTCTTTGACACACCATATTGGGGATCTTTATTAGGGAAACTTTATCAGATTGATCATGATTGTTATTTGAGTTACTATACATGATTGAGAACCACGATTACTTCTCTGCAGGATTGACATAATTTGTATGTTCCTATAAATGTGTGAAATTAGGCATTTTATAGAATGCCCTAGGAAATCTTTAGAATGCCAAAAATGAGACGTCAAAGTATGAAATGCTTAATATGTCACACATTTCCTGGGACTTCTATGCAATGCCAAAAGGCAAAATGGCAAACTATAAAGTACTCCCCCTAAAATGCCATTCTTGCCTTCTTTGTTGCAACAAGTAGCTCAATAGTGGTCTTTTTAATCTTATTTTTTCCTGTACTTTATTTTGAATTTTTATTTTATTTTTCATATACTGTATGTTAGTCCTAATGCTAATCCTAACCCTTTTCATGATTCTCTTTTCATACTTTGCCTAAATAGCTCTTAGCATTCTGCATAATGCCTAGGTATATATAATACCTAGAGAAAGTATATAGCATATTAAAATAACACAAACATTACATACTTTGCCTAAAAGGACATGCATTCTATAGATTTCCTAAGCATTCTATACAATGCCGATTTTTCACACATTGCCCCTAACTTATATATTGAAATCATTGATTGGAAAGCCTGGAAGCTGAAGTTCTGATACATCTACTATATCAGAAGGCACCAAATTAGGAAAACTGCCTACAATGAATCAGGATGTGAATCTTGTACAGAAATAGCCATTTGACTGAAGCTCTGGCTTTGTCATCACAACTTTTGATAAAAGGTTTATAAGCCTTGGAAATCACATATTAGCATATCCCCAATGCATTACCCAATACACTTGAGTAATATTATTCAATAACGATTCTGATATTAGTAATGGCTTGTAGATTTTATTAAACTATTAATAACTGGCTAATAGTGCTGTACTGGGTAATAAGACACTACGCAGCATTCAAACAAAAACAGCTAGTAAGCAAAAATTGTTATTAACTAACAAATTGTGAACATTAATTTGTCAATATGAAGCACTATAATATATTCTATAAAATGAAGCCATAATCAGTGTTTGATTTCCATCTGAAACATTGTTTTTATTCACTGGTATATGGACAGAGTTTTTTTTTTCATGAACAGAAATTTTTAATAGATGACTAAAAACCCAGGTCATATTTCCTTTAATTGTGATGACCATGCGTGTTATTGGAGGAAACATGGGTGGTGATGATATTATAATGGTATGATGAACAGGAAGCTATTATAAAATTAATCTTTGAATCATCTATTTTTATATCTTTTTGTAAAGAGAATGAAAGATGAAACAATTTCAAGCAAAATCAGTTGCATAAGTGAATATTCCAATTATAAACTTAAATGTCACTTTATAATTTATTGTTTTATAGTTATTATTACTCAATCCTACTTGCTAAAATATTCCACCAGCCTCCGTTAAATGGGAGACATTATAGTAGCTGATACATCTAGGAGGCATCAATTTAAATCTCTAGGTTTATGTGCACTTACATTTCTTTGTTGTGATCTTTTTCACATACCACAGAAACTGAAAATGTACTGTAATGTATTATTGTCTTGAACATACACACCATTGGCAGCTTTATCTCTTGGCTAACTTTTACTGGAAACTGGAATCAGGCCTTCTTTCTTTGTCTCATGCATTATTTTTAAGACTGATTACTGTGTCTGAGCCACAAATAAATAGAATGAACTCTTTCACTTGTTTGTCTTTCTGTCGGGCTTTTTCCAGTAAGCTGGTCCATTCACTAGAAAGGAAACTCTGGCATTCTCTCAACAATTATTTCCACAAAAAAAGAAAAAAAACATAAGAGTGTTTTTCCTCACTATCCCAAACTAATATCTGTGGGAATAGTTCTTTATTTGCATTTTTCCATTTCCCTTGCATAATGCATTCTGTGATTGTTTACATTTTTTACTTCTATTGTGTAGCTTTTGTTTATTCTATTGGGCCACATTAAATCATCATTTGACATTTTTCTGAAGCCAGTTAAGCCACCTGAAGATATGAATTGATATCCCAAATCCTAAATGGATCGATATGTAAAATCGTACACTAAGTGCCTAACTATCTATGAATCCCCCAGCCAATAGAAAATTATATACAAGAAATCCTCATTTATTGACTGGCTCAGACTGTGAGTGCAGTTATGAAAATGATAAAAACATAACTTTGCATTTCCTTGTATTTAGGATTGTTGCAGGTCTGTAAAGCAAAGCAAAGCTGAAGTAAGTCTTTAAGACATTTGCAGTTTCACTTAGCAATTGCTTTGCTTAACAATTGGGCTACTTTGTTCAACTGTGATTGCTAAACAAGGACTATATGTAGCCCAAAGTAGACTGGGATGAAAGATTTCTCCCTGATAAATATTTAGATAGACAGACAGACATTTATATTTTTGTTTTACTAAAGGGAAAGTTCTGGTGATGCTTCCTGTATAATCGATTGTGACTAAAAGTAGGTTCTTTATCTATAGTAATGCTACCTGTGAATTAAATACTGCACATGGAAGTATTTATTTTTACTAGCGATGAAACTTACTCAGCTCCATTGTACGAGATTTAAGGAAGGGCAGAATTTCAGGAAGATTCCACATAGACACAGCATGAAAAAATGGTCTTTTGCTCCCTTTGTGTGTATATGTTTGCTGTAGAACATGGATTTCATATATCCTGCTTTGAGGGGAGGAGAAAAGATCTCAGCAACTGCATAATTGCCTTTCCCATAAGGTGGCATAGGGGGAATTTACCAGGAGTATTTTTTTCTCCACAGCTCCCAAGCAGATCCAACCCATTTTACAACTTTCTTTTACCTGCTTCTCTTTTTAGTGCAAATTTGGCATTCATTCGAGACAGTTTTTTATATAATTATTGTGCTGATGAACAAACAGATGGACAGAATCCCACCCTCTGTACATATTTTTCCAATTCCACAATGTTAAAAAAAATTAAAGAAGAAAGTTCTATTAGTTGAATATATACTGGACATGAAATATTCAACAACCATAGGAAGACTAAATCTTTTTCCAACTTATTGAACCAGCCTATATTTTTAAATTGCTTTAGATTTTTATTTTAGTTCTAGCTCTTCTGAGTCTGACCCTGACCTATGCCTCTCCTTTGATGTCCAAATTGACCAAATGGAGGGAGAAAAAATAACTACAGCCACACACTTTTCTTCCTGTCTCCTCCACAACTGTTTGGGAAAGGCGACATTTTATTTTAATCTTTATGTGGGAAGATTTTATCCTTGCAAAATGTGCCATGAGAGAACCATTTGAAATACTCAAGGCATTTCTGAAACAGGAAGGCCAAGTCTGTGCTTGTTATTTCCCTCATCTCCTGCCTGGTAACAGTGAAAAAGGAATGGTACTCATGATTTCAAAACATTAAGAGTGCCTTGGCTGGTTTAGGAGATAGTTGCAGAATGAACTGTGATAATGACATTACTTATTTAATAAGCAATCTAAGATTATACTTAATTAGTAATCAGTATCCACAGAAATGTGTTGACAAATATTTCAGTACATATTCTATTTATTTTGATTTTTTTTTAATAACTGGACATCTAATCCTTTTTGTCCACTATACTTCAGTGAAGCAAATTAAGAATCCCAAGCATATAGCTAAAACATGCTCTAAACTCTGTCTTAACTTCAGTAGTTCAGCTTTCACATACTATAATTCACATAATCTGTCCAATTTTAGAGATAAAGAATATTCCTATGCATATATTTTTGATAGTCATAATAGAAAATAGGGATTCCATAAATGGAGTTGCTTCTTGGAAAATTGTTCTTAATGTTTGTGGTTTCTCTTAGCCATGAAATCCACAAATAGATGCTATTGGGAGAATAAACTATAGCTCATGAGAATATAGTTATGTTTATAGAAGCCAGTGATAATTAATATGCCACTTGATGTTGGATAAATGTAAGGGAAACAAATGAGGAAAAATGTTCTACAACAGTAACTCTGTTTTTGTTTTGTTTTGTTTTTTTAGGAAAACTTTAAAAGAAACAAAGGGGAAGGATTGAGCAAATTGGTTTGTAAAAAACAACAACTTCCATGCTTTATTGAACTGGCCGACTCTGATGTGAATCACCACTGCATGTTGTTGCTTGCAGTTAACAATACAGGTTAGTTGAACTGATTTATTATAGCTTGTAATCAAGTTGGATAGAAGCCATGAGTGACTTGCTAAAATTGACTAGATTTCACATGTCACATGAAACCATAATTTTATCTTTGGCTGATTCAACAAATCTTATATATAACACATTTAGCTCCAATCCAGCAATTATGGGTTTGCAAGGTAAGTAAACCCAATGTTTTTGCTATCTTCTTCATCCCTAGATTCGGGTGGGGGGGAATGCAGAAAGTATTTGAAAAACCAACTATTTCAAAATGTATTAGGTGTCCTCAGTTAGGTGTTACTTCTATTCAATAGCAAATTAAGGTCAGGAAGTGGTTTAGTTTGTTTTTTTTACTTCCCAGTTAGTTTACAGCCATGGGATTTCCTTATGGTCTCATATCTAGATGACAACCAATCTATCCCAGCTTAACTTTTTCAAAATCAGCTAAATGTTGTGGCCAGCAGCTAATAAAAAATTGTAACCTCTTTCCCCCATCTTCCTGTCATTACTAAATTCAGAACAATAAGTGGTATATATCACAACATTCAAATACTAATTGGAAATTCTGACTGGATTCACAGGTTGCATGGGCCATACTGTTATTTTAGCATTTTATTTTATAATGTATTCATTAAATTGAATGTGTAAACACATTCAGTTTGATTTGTAAACCATCACTTATAACTTATTTATGTATTTTTATTATGCTTGAATTCTGTCCATTTTCATAGGATCTAGGCAGCTAAACAGAGGTAAACAGATAAAATACTCCCCAAATCCTTAAATACATATAATTATTTTCCAGAAGCCACATACAATGTATCCCATCTTTCAATTAAAAAAAATATTCTGTTCATGTGCAAGACAAAATGGGTTTGTTTTCAAAGTTTTTCTGGAGTCTAAGAGTGATGTGACATTTCCACTGGAAGGGAGTTTCAAAGAATGCCTGCCTCTAGGGCCACATCAGATATAATCTCGGAGAGATAGAATGTGGAAAAATTGGTTTTATTTATTTATTAGCTATGGTGGCACAGTGATTAGAATGCAGTATTTCCATGCTAACTCTGCCCACTGCCAGGAGTTTGATCCTTAAGGTTTGACTTAAGGTTGATTCAGCCTGTTGTGGTACACCGGCGGCTGATGGAGCTGGCAGCAGAGTCGGACAGAGTTGTAGCAAGGAGGTTGGGGAGGAACCTGGGCCAGTCCTGGAGGCTGAGGAAGACTCGGACGAGGGCTCTGTGTCAGAGGCAGAGTCATTAGCTGCCTTCAGCCTCAGACAGCAGTGAGGCGGGAGAGTTTCTGGAACCAGTTCCCAGCTTGTGCATGCACAGAGCTTCCAAAAGGAAGGAACAATTAAGGCTTGACATGGGAGTAAGGCCACAGGTGGACGATGAATGGCCCCTTCCATAAGGATTAAAAGAGGAGAAAAAGGGGAGGGGGCTTTTGCAGGAAACAATTTGTTCATTCCAGCCTTGGGATGATCTGTCTGTGTAACGTAGAGACTCTGTGCCCAGCCTTTCCCTGTCAACGCTGCATGCGGAAATATTTACTGGGAAGCTTTCCCAGATAGATAATGTCTGAGCTAATAATTATACCTTTGCAAGACTGTTTACCAGGCCATTGGCTGAATGTGAATGCAATAAATTCACATTCATTTAATAAAAGAGATTTTTCAGGGACACAGAGTTTACTTAGTGTTTTGGGGGGGGGGGAAACTAGGACAGAACACAGCCTTTCATCCTTCCAAGATTAGTAAAATGAGGACCATGATTATTGGGGGCAATATGCTTACACTAAACTGCCCAGAGAGTGTTGTAGAACACTATGGAGTGGTATATAAGTCTATTGTTATTAATATACTATTTGATTTGTTTGGACAGGCAAATGAATTAAGAAAAAGATGGCCAGGATCAGATGTATATAGGTTTTAAATGTGACAATCACCATCTTAAACCACACCCAGAATTCAATTGGAAACTAAGGCAACTCCCATTATTACTGCAACTACCTCATTCTGCAGCAGCTGCAGTTTCCACACATCCTTCGAGAGTCATCCCATGTTGAGCATTTATTTAATGCAATAATTAATTTATGCAATAATTTAATAGAGGTGACTAGAGCTTTAGTGACTATAAGCAAGTCCTCCAAAGCCAGAAAAAAAGTTGTCATTGTACAAAAAAGTTTATCTGACATCTGGTCTTCAAACAGGAAAATTCTCAAGTTGAAAACCATCTTTGAACAAAGAAATACAACCAGTTTAGAGTTTTAAAAAAGTGGATTTTCCCTGCAATTGTTAGATTTGCAGATCCAAAGCCACTCCTTATTGGAGGGATTCATTTAAAGTGTGTTCCTCCTCATCCAGACCCAAACAATATCCAGGAAGTCAGTTAACACTTCTACTGCACATCTACTCATGGCTATGGTATATACCAGTAATGGCGAACCTTTTTGGCATGCACATGCTCGTCGGGGATGCACCCCAGAAGAGAAGCTGCCAAGTGGGCATGCATGTGCTGGGAAATGAATTTCCAGTTTCTGACGCGCACATGAGCACCGGCCAGCTTGTCTTCTGGTTACTGGTGCACAAGCACATGCGACAATCAGCTGGCCAGCATGTATGCACACAATGGAAACTGGAAGACCAACTCTTCCGGTTTCTGACACTACCACACACGCAAAAACAGCTGATCGTCGAGCGCACATGCACACCAGAAACACAGAAGAGGAACAGGGGATGCCATGCGTACCAGCTGACATGGCTCCGTGTGCCACTTCAGACATGCCTGCCATAGGGTCACCATCACAGGTATATACTATGTATCAGTGGCATACGATAATGCTATGTTTTATCATTTTATCAATTGTGACTTATTTAATAAACCACAGTTATATAAGCCATATATTACTTTGAATAAAACCTGTACAAGTGATACTATAAATGTTATTAAAGCTTCTTTGCTTGATAAATAATTCCAATATTCTCTGAAAGTAAATTTCAATTTTCTCTGCTTTAGAAAATATAGGTGCAAATGCATTACGTGGCTTTCTGGATAACAAGCAACCCGATTTGAAAGCGGTAATTTATTCATGTTTTTATATATAGGAGTTGGGTGAGACAGAATTAAAAAAATTAAACCTAAAATATTACAAAATTTGAACAGTATGCTTTGTAAGTCAGGATCTTTTATAACTAAAATCATGTAAATGAACAGTGATATTTTTCACAAATAATGTGGAATTAAATGTCAATATTTTAATAATAATCAAATTACTATAACAAGCAATTAACTGTGAGAATTTCCCTAACAATTTCCAATTTACTATTTTTAGAAAACAGACTAAAATGTAACACTGCAATAAGCAATATGCATTTTCCTGGATTTGAGGTGTTATCAACTTAAAACGTCAACCAACAGTTCCATTGGGCTGACAAGGTTTTGGGGCATCTATCCTGCCTGTAAAGAAACCACTTTTAGCTATCAGAATTGCCAGATAATATTTCAGAGGACAAAGTGAAACTGTTTTAGTTATTTATTTTATTTTATTTGGTTTGTCAATTGCTTACAAGATAATAGATATAAGTAAAAACATAGTTATGAAGACATGGATACATATAAGAAAAATAAAAGAAACAATAGGACAGGGACGGTAGGCACGTTGGTGCGCTTATGCATGCCCCCTACAGACCTCTTAGGAAAGGGGTGAGGTCAATAGTAGAAAGTCTAAGGTTGAAGTTTTTGGGGTTTGGGGAAGAAACCACAGAGTCAGGTAGAGTATTCCAGACATCGATCACTCTGTTGCTGAAGTCGTATTTCCTGCAATCAAGTTTGGTGCAGTTAACCTTGAGTTTGTATCTATTGTTTGCTCTTGTATTGTTATGGTTAAAGCTGAAGTATTCATTGACAGGTAGGACATTGCAATGTCCTTATTCTTTTATTTTTCTTATATGTACCCATATCATGTATTCACAACTATGTATAGACTTATACTTATTATCTTGTAAACAATTGGCAAATCAAATAAATAAATAAAAATAAATAAATAAAATAAATGTATGATTTTACATACTATACTTAGATCGGACCAAAGGTGGTGTAGTTATAGATTTTCTAGATCTAGAATTTCAAGAATGGTGACATAAGGTATTCTGCAATGAGTAGAGGAGTGGAGAACTCTTCTTGTGAAATATTTCTGGACTTTCTCAACTGTGTTAATATCAGATGCATAATGTGGGTTCCAGACTGATGAGCTGTATTCAAGTATTGGTCTAGCAAATGTTTTGTATGCTCTAGTTAGTAGTGTAATATTACCAGAGAAAAAGCTACGTAAGATTAGGTTAACAACTCTTAATGCCTTTTTGGCTATGTAGTTACAATGGGCTCTAGCACTTAGATCATTAGAGATGAGTACTCCGAGGTCCTAGATAGAGTTTGGATCATCAACAAGGTCTTGACTATTCAGCCTGTATTTCATTTTCTGATTTTTTTTTGCCAATATGTAAGACAGAGCATTTGTTTTTTGAGATTTGAAGTTGCCATTTGTTTGACATAGTCGAAGGTCTTTTTGAAGGGTAGCAGTATTGTCTGTGGTGTTGAATAGCTTTACATCGTCAGCGAAGAGGACACAGTTGCTCTTAATATGATCACAGAGGTCATTTATGTAGAATATGAAGAGAGTTGGTCCTAGAACACTGCCTTGGGGGACCCCTCTGTTGACAGGTACAGAATTTGATAGGACGCTCCCAATTTTGACCATTTGTTGTCTGTTTGACAGAAATGCTTCTATCCAGTTATGCGGGTGTCCAGAGATACCGTAAGATGTTAGTTTTAGGAGTAGTTTGTCGTGTACCACTGAATCAAAGGCTTTACAGAAGTCTATGTAGATTGCGCTATTGGTTTGCCCTGATCAAGTTGTGTAGTCCATATGTTTTTGCAGTGTAAGAGTTGCAGATTGCAGGATAGTTTTTTTCTGAAATCAAATTGTTTATTAGAGAGTAGGTTGTTTGTCTCTAAGTGGAGGATAATGGATTGGTTAATAATTGATTCCATGACTTTACAGGTGACGCAGCATAAAGAGATTGGTCTATAATTTTCAACTAGGCTGGGGTCTCCCTTTTTGAAGATAGTTTTGGCAAGGAGCTGGTCCTGAAAGATTTTTCAAAGATTATGCTTAGAGGTTTGGCTATGGCAGTGGGTAGCTTTTTTAAGAATTAGGCACATATTCTGTCCGGTCCAATAGATAGAAATGGAGTTCATCCAATAGTTTTCATTAAGTTGTTTCATTCATTGAAGACATAATTGGCTTTCAAGATGTGCAGTGTTCTAATACTTAGTGCAAAAGAAATTCCAAGCGTTTCCAGAAATTGCATCCTGAAAATTAGTTTCCTTTGTGTTGTAATTTAACATACAAAACATATGAAATACACAGGACTTCTCTCTTTCCAAACTATCTTCCCAAACATTCATAATATCCTAAAGCTGTGTGATTCAATTTCAAGGAGATTCAGCAAGTCACATTTTCACACTGAATTTTCAGATTGAATTCTTGAATCATTTGAAAGAATCACAATAAATGAGGTGCTTTGAATCACTTTGGATTAAGAGATCTGATGGGGTTTTCTTTTGTGTTGCTCCAATTTTTCTTCCAAAATGGACAGTATTATTCCTCCTACTGTGTCTCACTTTTGAATTAGAATTTGTTTAGGTAGGTTTACATGGAGTGCAAAATTTGGGAGGTTGGTTGGTTGTTTACACTAGTTTGTTCTTTCTTATATAATTCTCTTCCTTTTCCTCAAGCCATATCCTTTTATTATTGCATTTCTTCTACTTCCAATGTACTTGTCTAGCCTGAAATATAGCCAACTACGATATGTGCCCAATCTGTCTGCGGTTGTTGCTGTTGGTCCTCCCCTTTAGTGCCTTTTCATTCTCTGCATTCCCTTCAAAGGTTTTTTTTCCTATTTACCTATCACTGTCTTACTTTATACTCTGTAAGACTACCTCAGACCTAATGTCATACCATGATATAAAAAATTAGTCTGTATTATATGCGACAGGTTATTTCTTACACTAGCACATGTGAAACATGCAATAGCAATAAATAAACACAAATTTCTTGGGATGTTTTTAAGTTGTTGCCCAAGCATCACATAACCCATCATTCCCAGAAGAGGCTAATTCTGCCTCTTCCACTCTACTAGGAAGCTATCAGCTCAGAAAGATAAATGACCGATGAACAGAGAATCTTCAATCTTTAGTAAGAACTTACTTTTTCAAAACTGTTTTTGAAAGGCTTTGTTTTTAAGGTTTAATAGGGCATTTTGTCAGCCCTACTTCCCCATAAGATGGATATTTTAATTCCCTAAACAGTTTGGAGCTGTTATGTTGTCCTTTCCTCATTCCTGCTATGTCTTGTTTAAACAAGATGTTACAGTACTTCAAAGTAAAAGCCTTCAAGCTACCTGACATTGTAGGAGGTTAGTTGTTTTAGACTAGGGTACAAAAAACTTCAGAGGAAGCACTTTTTCTATGTAACAAATTTTATTAAAAGACATAAGCTGTATGGAATAAGATATGACGAATGACCCTTAAGGGTCTATAATCTCTGCTATTTGCATTCCTGACAGGTGTTTTCATGGTTCTTTGGTTCAATCCTATTTTGTTTTTTTCTTTTAGCTTGGGATAAAATTCCACAAGCAGGAACGCACTGAGATTCACCAGGTCCATTCTCGGGGGACCCTTATTGCCTTGGTCACCACCGGCTTGCTGTTTGCATTTTTGGGATTGACTGGATATTATCTTATGAAACGACGAAGCTGGAGCCCCATGGGAGAGAGGCTGGTTAGTGCTTATAGTTGGCAGAACAAGTAGAAAGTTCAAGGCATGTAACAGCAGTTGCAGAGAAAAATGACAGGATTGCTATTCTTACTATAACTGGTGTACTCATTTCCATAAGGTATTCTACAATTTCAAGTTATGCTTACTTTTTTTCAACAGTAAGATAAAACAATTTACAAACACCATCAAACAGGAATCATATTTTCCTCAATATCCTCATGCTTTAAATTCAGACTGGATTTTCTCCTCTTGTTTCTGTTGCACTAGAAACTTTCCTTATGACTTTATCACCAAATGATGAAATAAAGAATGTGAAGAAAAAGAAAATATTTTTCTTAATTCATTTGTTGCTTTCAATTTCGGTTCCTTCTATCTTTAGGCTTGCTGGCAATCTTTTGGTTTTAGCTATGTCAGCTAAATGTAGAACTGCAACTGTAATTAATTTTTCTTTTTAATATTTGGGGATGTGTAAATATTGTTCCCAAATTCAGAAGAAGGTAAAATTAAGTAGAGAAGTGGAACTCTGTACCTGCTACTTTTACTTCAATACTGTTTATAGGATTTCAGTCAGATATAAGTTGACTGTGCATATAATTTCCCAGGAATATCTTGTTGAGATATTATAGGAATGTTGGAATGCAGATAACTAGAGCCGTGCAGAAGATGAACTCTAATGATTTTGCAAAATCTGTGGGACATGACCCTTTTCTTGTTTTTTCTTTTTTTAATGAATTTCTCTCTAAGAAAAATATCTTTCTCTTTAAATAATCTCCTTCATACAATGAATTTCTGCAGGTAATCTTCATTAGCCTGAAATGCAAACACAGAGTTCTGTAGAGTTTCATAGACAATTTTCAAAAAAGATTTTAGAATATTTGGGAGGAGCACCTGCAACACCTTACAGAAGTTGTGTTTTTTCCCAGACCTGAATCCAGACCTGTACCGGTAGTATACACCGGTAGTATAAAATCTTGACAAATTGAATGCCAGTGTCATCACAACAATAGCTAATGAATGACTGGTTATTCAATTTATTTACTTATTGAACTATACATTATGTAGACTACATTAGCTTTCGGAAATTAAACTACCACTCCATTACTGCAAATTAGTGGTATTACTGCCAGTCTCTACAATCAAGAAATATAGATGCAGGTGAGATTGTGCATGAATTATATAATAGGACAAAGAGTCAGAGCAAGACCTCTTACAATCCATGGGGATATTTCATAGCTTATTGCTAATACATCTGTTCTCTGAGCAAAAACTCCAGATTAATTTTCTGGTGCTTCCAGATTAAAAAAAAAATCTGGAAGTAAGCTATGAATAATTTTTCTGCTCCAAACCCTAGATACCAGGATAGACAAAAATATTAATGAAACTGCATACTGGATTATCAGTATTTGATCCAACCTCTTATTTTATTGACAAGTTTATATTCAAATTATTTGTATTATTATCATTGATTACATAGGCCGCTGAAATACACTTCATACATGGACAAGGCCTCCCTTCACTCCATCATGAATATTATCTTAATATACTTTTCTAAATCCCTGACTGAAGTGCCTGACTGAAAGAACAGATATTTCTTTTCTTTTCTATATATAATCTAAATAATTTTGTTGACCTCTGAGCAGCTTTGTCTAACTCTGAATATTTTTATTTTTTATACCTCTAACCCCTTTAGGGTGAAGATCCTTATTACATCGAAAATGATAGCCATAGTAACCCTGATATCCCTGTGGCCTCTCATGAACAATCTGATCTGCAGGATAAACCAAATCTCAATGGAGGGGCTCGGGAAAATGGAACTGGCCAGCCGTCCTCAAAAAATGGACACCAAACAAAGCCCCAGGTTGTGGCTGACACAGAACTGTGAAAATGCTGTGACCTTCTTAATGCAGCTGGAAAAGCTCAACTGCACTTACAAAGAGGAGCTAGGAGTAAAAAATCATTAATGAAATTATAATACCTTTGTTTTAAGTGTTAACATCTTAACATTAATTTTTCAGGGCCGATGCAGCAGCATTTGTGTATGGAAATTGTACAATTAGCAAACTGCTTCAATGGTATTGGTTATGTTCTTAATAAAAGGGAAGTTTGGAGGGTTTTTTATTTTATTTTTCTACTTTTAGATGTGATGTCCTTCACAATAGTTCATCCAGGGAGACACAAGGCATGTTTCCTAGAAATTAAATTTTTTTCACTTATTTGAGAGTTGTTTAATATCTATCTGATGCTGTTTGGAGTAAGAAAGGACATTTCACTTTTTTAAAACGTAATTTTAATTTTAATTTAAAATATAACAGAGATGTAACAACTACGGCTCCAGAGTAGTAGGCAGCTGAAAATCCCTAGATTTTAGTAATCACCACCCTTTCTCATACCCAACTTTCTGCCTTTCTGCATTTAGGCTATGCTGCACTTTGTACATAACATAAACTGATTGTAAGCCTGCAACTCATCAAAAACCTTTTGAAATATAGTTGAGGCAGTTCTTAAACAACACAAAATAAACTCTTCACTAGATTTGCTTATTTTGAAAAAACTGAGTATCTTTTCCATTTAAAAGAAATAGGAAAAATTAGGAGACTTTTATAACATGAAAGTGCAGTATAATAGACAATAGACCTAAATCTGAAATGCTCTGTCTCTTTCAAACTTTGTTTTCATTGTCCATATACTGTACATAAGAACAAGAAAACAACTTTTTTCCCCTACATAGTACTTTCTAGATGCTTTGGGACTGTTACTATCAGAACTCATACAAAGTACATCCTTTGAATTCCAAAAATCACTGATTTTTTTTTAACATAAAGGAAATAAATCTGAAATGTTATTCTTAATCTGGATACAGTTAATTACATTGAAATCAAGAGTGGCATTAGTTGTAGTTACATTAAGTGGAGTTACATATTTCTGAGCCTAGAATCCTATTTTAACATCCTGGAGTTTAAATACAATGCAGTTTACTTCTAAATAGACAGTGATATGATGTCAGGGCCTTTGAATCTAGTTTTCAAACAAAACATGTGAGAGTCTATTTGTAAATGTAAATAAAAATGCAAATATAGCTATATTTAAGTTGTATGTTTAAACATATCTAAGATCACAATAGTCATGCTTTAATTTAGCCTATATTTTAGGCTAAATTAAATATTCTAACCCCAAATATTTTTCTCCATTGCCTTCCTTCCCCTCAGTGCTCATCCCGAAATGTATTGATTATTTAAGTTAATTTGAAAATAGAATGTAGAACAAAAATGTGACTAGGCTCTGAAATGAATTATCTTTTTCATACTAATTATCATATTTTTGTGTAAACTGGAAATAATTCAAGAACACCTAACATGAATGATACTGCCTTATTTACACTTGTCACTGAAAGCATTCGTTAGGTATGGGATAATGACCATAACAATAAGTAGCCCACTAGAGAAAGGAATATATTTCTTTTTTTTAATTCAAATTTCCCTAATCTGCTTTTGTTCAGATATGCTGGAACTAGAATTCTTTGCCAGGTATTGTCCAACTGCTGGTGCTAGAGAATGAATTAATTATTCAGTAGATTAGTATAGATAGTCTTAATGTTTACATTTTTGTGTTAAACAAGCAAACATGATTGTTAATATGGTATAAAGGAAGCATGTATATTGGAATTGTCTCTAGTGTAAACTATACATATGTGTAGATAATCTTCATAATTTAAAAAGGCAGCATATGTATATTTTAATTGTTACTTAATATCTGAGTTCCAAAATGCCATTTTGATTGTTTTGGGTTTGATGTACTTAATTGAAAAGATGTAATAGGCAGAAATGATTTGCTTTTAAATTTGTCTCTGAATGTTTGGCAAAAGTAAGTTTTCAGCTGAAATATTCCTTTGCACACATACAATAATTAAATAATAGTAGAGGCAAAACAGCATAATTAATGATAGAAAAATGAACAGCATAATTAATGATAACAAAAAAAATAAAAAATACACAGGAATGGCTCATGATTTGTGTTAGGCTTTGCACATTACAGCAAGCTTCTTCCCATGTTGTCCATTTTTAAGACAGACTTAATTAGAAGCTGTTCACTCCACTAGAATACCATTTATGGGGAGGTAGGGACTTCTTGGCAAGATAAAGGCCACAAACATCTCTCACATGAATCAGGCTTCTTGCTGAAATGTCATGGCATGTGAGAAAGACTGATATTGTAGCAGGCTAACTTGGTTCCTTAAACTGCTTAACGACTAATCCTTTGTTGAGAATGCATAGGACAAAGTGTTATATCCATTTCACTGTTTCTTTCTGTGGAAAAGTAGAGAAATGAATAAACGAATTTAATACCATGGTAAAGATAGGAAATACAGCTTTTATCCTTACTTGGAAAGAATACAGGCAATATATATTTTCATTGCTTTATGTTTATGTACAACAAAAAGTGTGTCATATTCATAGGTGAGACGAAAGTTGGGATCTCTCTCTGTCTCTCTCTGTCTCTTTCTCTCTCTCTCAGTACAAATCATAATCCTTTTTCATTTCTTAGTTTTTCTTTCCACCATCTTTTTTCCATGAATCCTTTATTGGCTGATTGTGAGCTATTTAGTTAGTATCAACTTTTAAGAACAAAACAGACTTTCTCCAGAATGATTTGTCCCAAGCCTGACACTTTAGGTTTCCTACTGTATACCCATTGCTGGTATAATCAAGTCTATCTTTCTTCTGCTGATTGTCCTTTTCTTTTACTTTCCAACTTTCCAGCATTGTAGACTTTCAGGTCATCATATAATATGTTAAAATGGTAGTCTGAGTCTGGTCTTGTGCCTCAAATGAGAATTCAAATGGATTTATTCTATGGTCCATTTATTTGCTTGGATATCTATAGTATTTTCAAAAGTTTTTTCCAATACCAAAGTTCAAAAGCATCATTTTTTATCCTACTTCTTCAAAGTCCAACATTGCTTGCACAATTTTGATTTTGATAGTTGTGGACACATCAGAGCATCTGAGTATTTTTTCCAAAGCCTTCATTGTAATTCTACCAAATATCTGTGGTATATTTCTTTACTACTGATTCCTTTACTATTGATACTGTAGTCAAAACCTAAAATGGCTGCTTGCAAAGACTAACATTATTCAAGTTATTGACTACGTTGTACTCCTATATCTTTCATGACTATGAAACCACACTGTTCATTGATTTTATTCCTTAGTAGTAATAAAAATTACTACAATTATATAATTCTTGACCAAACATGCTCAGTTTCAATCCATTCCACTTTACCAATGCCTAAGAAGCCCAGTTGTAGTTGGTTTATTTTGTTTTTCACTTTGTTGAACTTTCTTATAATCATGCTTTTTATGTTCCATTTTCTCATTGTAATTCTGCCTTTGCAGCTTTTCCCGTACAATAACATCAGCAACTATATGCCCCAAAGACTTTAATTTAGCTGTATCATAAACACCATTACATTTCAAAAGATCCTCAGCAATTCTGCAATAGCATATTGAATGCCAACCCATCTGACACTATCTTATTGCTCAGTTTATGACCATGTGATAAGGAATATCTAGTTTGGGGGCACGGGACAAGTGAGCCTATTTGAACATTTGAGAACATATTGTGGGCATTCCTAGCTGGTTTTCTTGGGGAGTATGAGCAGTTTGAAAGCAACTGTTTATCAGGCAGCGACTTATCCAAACTGAGCACTGGGTTCTAGCTCAAGGATATAGAACATTTTCAAAGAAATGCTTTCCAGAACAAAACATTATTCAGCATCCATACAAGCTACATGGGGCTAAGTCATGCTGAAAAGTTTTGAGAACTTTCCAGTAGAGCTGAGGAATCTTTCAATCCCCAGAATTGAAAATAATCCTCAAAATAAGGCATAGAAAGACATGAGTTCAAGAAACTGAGCAAGTGTTAGCCTGGATATAACTACCTTATTTCTAAATATATGAACTCATTGTGGTCTATATTATGCCCTGTTCTTCCAGCTTTGGGACATGATTTCAAAACATGAAGCCATTTCCACACTCTATCTAAAGGGCATTTTGAGATTTATGATAATGTCCAATATAATTAGACATACACAAACATACTACTCCCTTCACTCTAATTTTATGTGATATGGAGATGAGATGCCTACAAAAATGCTACATTTTCCTGTAAATTCTATGCCTCAAGGGTCTTGAAAGGCTACTATTCCTGTTTTTCCCTTCCCTAACTGTTCATGCCCAGCTTATCTGCATATTACTAGCCAGCTTTACTAATGCAGCAGCAATATAAATTTATAATGCTTTAAATTTTCCCTATTCTTACTACTGTAGAGATCCTTAGGAGTTGATAATTAAAGAAACTAGCACAATCCATAAATTGTGTTTGAAATAAAGGCTTGTTTGCAAAAACAAATGTAACTTCTACAGCTTAATTATGCACTCAGATGTTAAATAAATCTTTTAATATCAACCATCCTATCTCTAACAAATTTCTCTTCTCAGAAAAACTGTCTTGATTTATACAGGGTAAGAAAACAAAAGCTGTTCCCAAACTGTCTGAAGCCAAAGGAAATGAAAGGCACGACACCAATAGAGGTGCAGAATATGAGAGAATGCCAATCCGGAAAAGGCTGTGGCCAAGCTACAGGAAGTTTTCTCCAAGTGTATAAACATACTCAGCTTTGGCTTGAGCACAGCTGTAGGTGTTATTACTTTTTCCTTATCAACCCACATGCATTTTTCCTTGCAAAAATTCTTTCTTAATCTTTTGTTTTGGAAAGCATGCTACTGATAAAATGCTCAGTTTCCTCCTGCTCAGTTTCTGTACTGCTGATGAGAAAAGTACAGTCAATATTTATCTCCTTTGCATTCATAAGTCTCCCCTAATCAAAAGGAAAAGTGCCTGCTGCCTCGTTCTTCATTTAATTTGTGGAAGAAATCATGGTCTGTTATTTATAGCAATATGCAAGAAAAAATAATGGGTAAAGAACTCCTTCCATCAAATGATTTTATTCACATTTTTTTCCATTGCATTTTGCTGTAGAAGTATCCAAATCAACTTTCAGTTTTATGCATCTCTAATTAATTGAACTTAAGCAAAAGGGACTTTTGCCTGTATCCAGGCAATGAAGTTGGTGTTTAGTTAAATGGACTCATATTGTAAATTGGACTCATTGTAAATTGGACTCTCATATCTTACGTTTATGCATTGCAAACAACATTTAGAAAGATAAATAATTAGCTAACAATAAATTTTTACAAGAACTTAAATAATTTTTTTCTTGGATGTTTTACTGAATAATATACATTCAGCTAAAGTGAGAATTGGCCAAATAACAAGTGGTTGCATCCACAAACTCGGGGAAAGATTTGAAAGTAACTAGAGAGGTTTTAGTCATATAACTAATTAAAATAGTATAAATCAAAATCTGTTGTTAGCCACATTTGATTTTATGTTATTTCTTTGGAAACAAAGAAATAACAACCTTTCTATTGGTGGAATTGAAAGCTATTAGAGTTGCCCCTGCTGAGTGTTTGTAAGAGCCTGTTAATAACAGTGTCTAAAGAACAATTTCCAGTAATTAATAAGCTATGGTTTCTGGCAGTCCACAAATACTCCACCCCTTGCTGATGTGAAGAGGAAGTCTGAGATACTTATATATATGTATATAAAAAAAACAAGCTGACTGCCAGTGTTTCTGAAATATGGGCTCATGTAACTACAAATTCTATGTTTTGCATTTTTGTTTTATTAGTTTTATTCCAAGAACATATATACACAATCTGGTACATCTTTGCACAAAATAAGCTCTTATAGTTATGCTTAGGAATGTAGATTGAGTTTCTTAAAGCAAGAAGAAAATCCACTGTGACTCTTCAGATGCTACTAAAGTACAATATGACCAATCCTGATCAATCCTGATCGATATCGTTTAGCCACACCTATACAATTTAGAAGCAGAGATAAGCACCGCCCCTAAAGCCAGAAACATGTGCAGGGGAACCTTTACCTTTCTCTTTATACAACTACAGATTTCTAGCCTGCCTCTCCCAGCATTCTTAGAAGAAATATTTATAGTTTATTAGATCTGTAATAAACAAATTTAATTAAAGATCCTAGAGCACAGGGGGACTGGAAAAGAGCTGATGTACTTCCCATCTTCAAAAAAGAAAAAAAAATAGATCCAGTAAACTACAGACCTATCAGCCTGACCTCAATACCAGAGAAGATTCTGGAAAGGATAATCAAGCAATGAATCAGTTAACACTTAGAAGCAAACAAAGTAATAACCAAAAGCCAACATGTGTTTGTCAAAAACAGATCATGCAAGACTAATCTTATTGAATTATTTGACAAAGTGACAAAATTAGTGGACCAGAAGAATGCTGTCGATATAATTTACTTGGACTTCAGTAAGGCATTTGATAAAGTAGACCATAACCTACTACTTAATAAAATAGAAAAATATGGGTTAGACAGCATCACCACCATATGGATTCGTAACTGGTTGACCAACTGCACTCAACGAGTAGTCCTCAATGGAACCGCATCTACATAGAGGGAAGTATGCAGTGGGGTACCTCAAGGCTCTGTTTTAGGTCCAGTACTCTTCAACATCTTCAACAATGATTTGGACAAAGGAACAGATGGGGAACTCATCAAATTTGCAGATGACACCAAGCTAGCAGGAAAGCCAACACTTCAGAAGATAGGCTTAAGATACAGACTTGAAAATTGCCTCCAGAAGTTGTGAATGTTCCAACACTGGAAGTTTTTAAGAAGAGATTGGATAACCATTTGTCTGAAATGGTGTAGGGTTTCCTGCCTAAGCAGGGGGTTGGACTAGAAGACCTCCAAGGTCCCTTCCAACTCTGTTATTCTATTCTATTAAATAAGAAGATATATCTCATGAGTAATAGAGAAATATAGCAGCATAAGTTCATTGCGAGTAATTATGTGCTCTGCGCAGGAATTCAGTTTAATACATCCTCAGAATATTGGTCTATTCAAAATCACTACTGTTGGTTCTATATAAGTATGCATGTATGCATATGTGTGTGTATGTATATGTGTTTTACACATGTGTTTTATATATGTGTTGTTTTATACACATACACATACACACACACACACACATACACATGTATATAGATACATATACACACACACACATACACACAGAAAATATGTATTTAAAAGTCAGCAATAATGTTTACTTTGTTTTGTCTTTAAATTATGATCTTTTAAGTGCAGGTAGTTTTTTCACTCCGCCTTTAAATTAAGCCCACTTTTCAGTCATCTGCAGTTTATAGATTTAGTAGTCTTTTATGTGGAAGATCACTAGACGTGGTCCAAATGACAGATCGTAGATAGGAATGAGGGACTGCATCAAGTAGTAGCACTGAAAGAACTCTCTACCATTTCATATCTTATCCATATACCCCTCCAAATGCCACTATTCGCTTGCAAATTGACAGGCAGTTAAACCTGCTAATGCAGGCATCAAAACGATATCAAAACTCGCCTCACAACTGTCTAGGGAGAGTGATTTGTGTTTGCTTCTAGAACTGACAAGTAACATTTGATGGGAGGGGGAAAAGGCAGAGGAATCAACCAATCACTTTCCTTAATTTGTCTCACATTAAATCAGTAAGGACAACACTATTCATCAGTCCTATTACTGTGGGAAAATAGAGACCAGCAATGGAGATAACACAATTTATTGTGCAGCCATACTTTTCTGCTGGATCAAAGAGCTATAGGTCTCACTTTAACTTGGCTGTAGGGAAGAGCCCTATAATAGTCACTCATAAGCAGTAGCATTTATTCCAGAGGGATGCACAATTTGCTTAACATGATTATTTATTGCAATAAAAAGATGTTTATTTAAAGCTGATGCATGGTGCAATGCTACCCTCTACTGTCTGCTTTTGGAAAACACATGTGCATTATATTTTAAAAACAGGACAAATTAAGAGAGCCGTTTTAAATAGATCGTGGAGAATGTTCAGAACTGTGAATTTGCTTTACCTGAAGACCAACTATCATTCTAGGTAGGGCAAAAGATGGTAAAAGTGTCCCTCAGTGTTCTTTAACAGAAAAAAACAGAATTGTTCAAACATTAATGGGTAAGGAGGACTGCCTAGATGCTTACTTCTCTTGAACATTTATATTTATCTAGGAAAATCCTGAACCTAAGTAAACTGTTATAATTTTATTTGATTAAAAATAAAAATTGATTAAACTCCAAATCAGTTATTTGTATTCGACTCTTATGTGAATGTACTGCCTTAGTTAAGGCCACCAGCACACAGATTAAGTATTTTGAAAATATGGCTTATGGCTTAGGAGGCATTGTACCTCCCTTTGTCACAGATGTTTGAACAAAGGTTGGGTACCAAGATGCTGAGGTAGTATATTTCTGCACTAAACAGAGGTTTACATTAGACGATCTCCAGGGTACCTTCAAACACATTCTATAATTCTATGATAAACTGCATTTTATTTCTTTAATATTAAAGGAATATGTCACACAGTAGGCATGATTTACCCAGTGAATTAGGATTTGGATGCAATCATTTTATTGGTTAGATGAAAGACTGTAGATCACTGATTTCTCTGAAATGTTACTTTGATTTCCTTTTAAAAATAATTTTAATTAAACATTTTCAAACTTTAATGGTCAATTCCATTCTATTTATTATAATCTTATCCAGCAAATGAAAGAGAAGAGAGTCAAAATAGATTGCAGCACAGACAGCAATGAGCTTTAAAAGTTATATTAATTTCCTATGGAATAAGCAATTCATCATTTTTGTAGCAGAAGTTTTGATAATGTAAATGGTAATTTAATTTATATATGTCATTCTTTTATTTCATATTAATGTAAGCAATTTTTATCAAATTATACTTGTCTGTTAATTAGCTAGGGAAAATGCTTTTGAATGAAATTTTTAAAAGATTTGCTCAATTCATCATAAATCTCTTATATACATGCTTAACAAATAGGCCTCTGCCAACAAGGATATTTTCAATGAGAAGACTACTATAAATTTAAATTACTTAATAGGTTTGTAAAAATAAAAGTGGTCCTTTAGATTTCTGGGCCTTAAGCTTTTTAAAGGATTGCAGCTAGTCCCAAGAATAAATTCAGCTTGTCTAAGAATTTGAAGAATATATGATTTAATGTATAGATATTCATGAGCTATATAATGACATAAGTATTTTCAAAGACAGTTTTTCTACAGGAAAAAAAACGCACAATAATGTCATCCTGAATATTTAAGTAAATTATATATTATTCCTACTTGAAGGTTAAATTGAATTCCAAAAAGTTTCTACAGCAGTGATGATATTCAGCAGGTTCTGACCAGTTCTGGAGAACCGGTAGCAGAAATTCTGAATAGTTCAGGGAACCGGCAAATGCCAGCTCTGACTGGCACCGCCCCCATCTATTCTCTGCCTCCAAGTCCCAGCTGATCGGAAAGCAGGTTAGTGGAGTAGGGAGGGAATCGGATTTTGCAGTAACCTTCCCCCAGGAGTGGGGAGGGAATGGGGATTTTGCAGTAACCTTCCCCTGTCATGCCCACCAAGCCACGCTCACAGAACCAGTCGTAAAATTTTTGGAATCCCACCACTGTTCTATAGGTATTCTATATTAAAATGTGTTTTCTTTTGATTCTATTAGAAATGGAAAAGAACACGTTCAAACATAAGTGATTATATAACATTTGTCATACATATGAATATTTTATTTTTAAATTCATAACCATCTTTTTAGAACATCATTAAGCTTTTAGAAACTCACAATCATTTAGGAACAAAGGACCTTTAATTATTTTTATTATATTTTTATCTCACTTTTTCATATATACCTTAAGGTGGTGGACGTATCTTACTCATGCCTATTTTCCCTACAACAACCCTGTGAGGTGGGTTGAGTTGAGAGAGAATGACTGGGTCAGAGATTCCTGCTTTCTAGGCTAGTACTTTAACCACTAATAGACTGTCATAGTCTTCATGGTTTCCTAAGAGATTGATTCTTATCATAAATGCAATTTACAACATCCTAGTCTAGAAGAATGCAAAGAACCTTAACATTATCATTTGTTTCAAGGCTATTTCAATGACAGTTCATTTGGATTGAGTAGAATGAAACCCAAATAGCTATCTCAGTTCTTTTTCTAGTTATTGTTTGCTTCATGCACTTATTGGGTTATATAGTCCACATACAGGATGTTTATAAAAAAGATGGCGAGAGGGCAATCTATTAAAAAAAACTAACTTAAGTGCTTTATGAAAGTAAAAGGGCATCAAGTTGGGGGAAAGTCTTTTCAATATTCTTACAGAGATATCTTGGTATCTTATTGGTCATGTAAAAAAAAACATACTTTGTTTGCTGCTCTTTTTTCTGGATATCTGTACTGCTATTCTCCCCATTCTTATATTTGCTTAATATAAGCCAGTCCAAAAGAGCCTATGTTCTAAAAGCATATGATCGCTAAAGTCCTGAACATTGGCAAAGTCTCATTAATCCTGTACTTGAGATATAGGCTGATTCTCATGGCATATTAACCATAGCATGAAAACACCCCAATAAGCATTGCCTAATTCTCAACCTATCATAAAGGCAGCCTAAATTCATCCTCAGCTATTCCAGTTTTAAAACTAGTATTTTCTCTCCTCTTCTAACAGATGTCTTGGTGTACAATTTACCACACTTCATTCCTGATCTTGGTAAAGATGCACTCAAGGCTGGCATCTGCCAGACTCCAATTGTTCAGTTGAGGTGCAAGTGGGTTCCCCTC